AAAAAAAAAAAAGATTCTGGGAATATCCATTCCCCTTTTGGTCTGCTATAATGAAGACAAGTCTTCAAAGCTATAGGAAATGTACAGAGTCAAATGCTCCAAAGCAGCAGTTCTCAATCTGTGGGTTATGCCCCTTTTTAACAGTGAAAATACACTGAGGCATTAGGAAGATAGAGCATATATATCTTAGTCTATGGTATAGCTGCCCCTCAGTGTCTCTTGAGGACTGGTTCCAGGACTTTTTGCAGACACTAGTGTCAGGGGTCCTCAAACTACAGCCTGTGGGCCACATGTGGCCCACTGAGGACACAGATACAGAGCCCAGACACTAAAATCCAGGGATGCTCAAGTCCCTGACATAAAATGGTGTAGTATTTGTATATAACCCATGTATATCCTTCTGTATACTTTAAATCACCTCTATACCACTGATAATGCCCACTACAGGCAGTTCCCAAATTATAAACACCCAAGTGATAAATGACTTGCACTTACGAACAGAGGCATACCAATAGGTCATAGGTAAAATGTACCTATTAACAACATACATACAAATTCAACTTAAGAACAAACCTATAGAATCTATATCATTTATAGCCTGGGAACTGTTTGTAAAATGTAAATTCTATGTAAATACTTGTTATATCATTTAGGGAGTTAAGATAAGCAAAAAATTCTGTGTATGTTCAATACAGACATAATTTTGTTTTCGAATAGTTTCCATATTTCCAGGGTTGGTAGAATCCACAGATGTGAAACTCACAGATACAGACGGCCAACTACAAATAGTGAACTCAAGCAATGACTAATATTCTTGTCTATTAAATCAAAACCAATTACATAAAAACGAGGGGGCACAAACTGCAGTTTTCATTGTATTTAGTAATGTGCTTAGTAATAATTCAAAAGGAAATTTAATTTAGATAAACCATAATTATCTATATTATCCATCGAAGTGCATGAATATGGTATAATTTCCTAAAAAATAAATATCAAAGTGGGATTATTTTTATCCATGTAATTTTTTTGAGACAGCGTCTCACTATTGCCCTGGGTATAGAGCCATGGTGTCATATCTCACAGCAACCTCAAACTCTTTGGGCTCAAGAGATCTTGTCTCAGCCTCCCAGGTAGTTGGGACTACTGGCGTGCACCACTACACTGGCTAGTTTTTCTGTTATTTAGTAGAGATAGGGGTCTCACTCTTGCTCAGGCTAGTCTCAAACTCCTGACCTCAAGCAATTCACTTGCCTAGTGCGAGGATTATAGGCCTGAGCCACTGCACCTGGCCTATCCAAATAGTTTTACCAACTCTTTCTTCCCATTCACAACTTCTAGTTTCCTTTTATAAGCCTACTGTTTCTTAGAGTTCTTGATGACTACATCTCTGATATAATTCTATCCCCAATGCATGTCTTTGTAGTCCTGTTACTGTAGCACACAATACAAAAAGAGGCATTATCTTTTTAGACAATTAATGAAAATAAAAACCCAACAGGCATACAGTATTGTGCTGTTGAAAGAAGCAATTTTCTTAATAAAAGTTTAAAGCACTCTTAAGGGTTATCAAGTGGCACTTTGGAAAAAAATGTAATTATTAAAACATAGTCGTACCTAATACAGTGGAATTAGATTTGTATTACTAAAGTACTAACAAGAGAGTAGTAAGTATAGTTGTCTAGAATTACCTTTCAAGAGCTGCTCTCCGCTTTTCTACAAACTCAGTGGATGATGAATCTTCTTTACCCACTTTGACCTTGGTCATGCCTTTGTAGAAGATGAATGACAATCATGATAATTTTATATTATTGTGAAACAGTCTCCTCTAATCATTTCTTCATAATTTAGAATACAGTTTGAATGTTAACTTGACAAAAAAATCCTGAACTTGTACAGGTGGTATCTTACATAAAATGTAAAACCTTCTGAGGTATGAACTGTTATGTTAACAATGCTACCTGGTAAATATTTACAACATGGGAGAAGAGATAAAACAAGAATTGAGCTGTATTTGTAGTTTTCTGACCCACACTGTTTGTTTATACAAAAGCTTATATGTATAAGATCCCTTGTCTGTTATATTTCACATTCACAGTAAATTAAAATGTGTTTGCATTTCAATATACTTAATTCTAAATCAATAGGCTTAAGCTCAATTAGCACTTTCATTTCTTATAATTAAGTTTCTTTACTTTGGGTTGACAAAAATAAAAATAAATGTAACCCATGAATTTGTTAAATGTTTTCCTTCCTGCAGATTTCCTAAGCACATGCTGTTATTTATCATAGCTGATTTTATAATAGTAGCAAAAAAAAAAAA